AGCCCCGCCACTTAGCAGAGCCTGCTGCCCAGTGAGTGCCCGTCTCTCCTCTCCCAGAAGTGCAGGAGCTGCCCGTGGACATGGAGACTGTCACCCTGGATGGGGACGCTGAGGTAATGGCGCCCTCTCAGCTTGTGAGGGCAGTGCTGCGCTGACCACAGGCAAGGCAGACGTCTGTGTCCCTAACCCTGAGAGTGGGGGCTGTCTGCTAGGCCTTGGTCCTGTTGTGGGCTGGGGGCGGTGCTGTAGAGGATGAAGCCCGTCTCCCATGTCCAGCACAGCATGTGTGGCAGGGACTCCAGTAGCACTGACCACGGGGCGTGTGCCTCCCACAAAGCACATCTCTGACACGGCTGTGGCTGTAGCTCGGTACCCCAAGACCAAGAGCCGGGGTGCTTGGGGTCCCCACGGGGTATGTGGACACCAATGAGGCCTGGGCATAGCCCCCTATAAGACACATGGCCCCAGCGCATGGCTGGTGTGCCTGTCCTCAGACCCAGGCTCTCTGCTTTGTGCTCAGAGGAGCTGGGGTGGTGGTAGGGTTACCTGCCACAGCAGGTCATCCGTGTAAAGACATCGTCACTGAACTTAAGGCTGTCCCTGCCCTGTCTCACGTCCCCCACCAGCAGCAGCAGTTTGGGTGAGTGGCTCTTGTGTTGCAGGACGTGGATCTGAATCACTATCGGATTGGGAAGATCGAGGGGTTCGAAGTGCTGAAGAAAGTGAAGGTGAGGTGGCGGTCATCGTGCTGGGCCTCCGGCCCTGTGCCTCAGTGGCAGGCTAGCATGGGGGGTGCAGAGGGCATCCCCACAGGGGAGCCATCCAGCAGGGCCCTGACCAAGCCTCCATTCAATGACCTTTCACAGCAGAATTCAGCGTGGGCTTCACTTAGCGTGCCCCTCTCCACCACCCCCCCCCCACTCCACTCAGGCCGGGCAGCTCGGCTCTAGGGTATGTGCACTCCTCAGGATGGTGTGGACACATGACCCCTCAGCCCTGCCTACCCCTCCGCAGACACTCTGCCTCCGCCAGAACCTGATCAAGTGCATCGAGAACCTGGAGACGCTGCAGAGCCTACGCGAGCTGGATCTCTATGACAACCAGATCCGGAGGATGGAGAACCTAGGGACGCTGATGGCACTGGAGTGAGTCCTCTGGGAGTGGGGGGCGGAACTGAGCTGCCAGGGGCCGCCCCCACCATGTGGGCTGCTGCTTACCAATCAGCACGGCTGGTCTTGATCTGGGGAAGTTCCTGTCAAGTCTCGGGAACTGCTTCCCTGTGTGCCTGCCCTACCTAGCCTGGGGCTGGTCCTGGGGCAGTGGGGTCCCTTCCTGTGCTAGTTTGGGCCTGGTCAGAGGGGATGGGGGGGGTGCTTCCTGAGCTATCTTGGAGCCGGTCCCAGAATGACCTTCCTGAGCACTTTTGGCTCATTGTACTCTGGGTTCTAGTTCAGCCTCGCTGAGCCCCATCTGCTGAGACCAGCCCTGGCTCTGCTGTGGACAGACAAGGACAAGCACAGTCCCGCCCGGGCAGTGCTGGGGGCCTGAGCAAGGGGACCCCAACACCCCTGGCCCTGTTCACTGAGCCTTCAGCTCAGTGTTAAGAGTATGTCTGCTTGTTCAGGGTTCTGGACATTTCTTTCAACCTGCTGAGGAGCATCGAAGGCCTCGACGAGCTGACCCAGCTGAAGAAGCTCTTCCTGGTCAACAACAAGATCAGTAAGATCGAGAATGTCAGCAACTTGCGTCAGCTCCAGATGCTGGAGCTGGGCTCTAACCGCATCCGGGTAGGTGCCACACACACAGCAGGGCACTGCCTGCCACTAGGGTGAGAGCCTGGGCCCAGGAATGTAGGCCAGGAGTCGGAGGTGAGGCTGGCTTGCAGTTTCAAAGCCATTGCAGGTGCTTCTGGGGGACCAGGGGTTCTTGTTCTACTGGAGAAGACACACTACGGAGACGGGGCCCACCGCCCAGCCTTGCAGCACCTGGTCCGTAAGCATGGTGCCAGTCAGGTTCCATGCCCGCCGGCTTGGACACCACCACCACCCCACCCCACCCAGAGGGCATCTATCTGCACGGCAGTCTCCTGTGAGCCACTGACAGGCCACATGGGAGTCAGGGGCCCCCAGCTCTAGGACTGTCAGGTGGATGGACAGAAGGAATTCTGTTCTGGCCTCAGGCCTGGGCAGGTCCCAGAACAGCTGGCACTGAGGCTCTGCCAGGCAGAACTGAGAAGCACTGGACCAGGGGGGAACGGCTGTTGTCCAGTTGGGCCAGACATGTGATGACCCCACTTGCAGAAATCAAACGCCACCATGCCCTACAGCACAGTGATGGGGTATGGATCTGACGAGACAGGAATTCCTGCCAGGAAGGCAGGATCCAGGTTTTGCTTCCTAGGTGGGATCTTCTGGAGCCTGGCCCTCGGGGGCCGAGGATCTTTACAGCACTGCAGCCACCTTTGTGCTGCACATGGACATGTGGGGCCTGCTACCCCACACTCCTGGCCTCTGAGGGCTTCCACCAGGCTTGGTATATCCAAGACAGTGTCCCCGAAAGGCTACTGTCCCTCCCTCTTTGTTCTGAAGATGTTTGACTCCTGGAAGAATTGGCCCTCACTGCCCAGGTTAGGCAGCTGACCCTGCAAGGTGGGCACGATGTAAACCAAGAAGGTGGGCCTGGGTGGCGGCAAACTGCATGGCAACCCCTCCCAGGGGCCGGTAGCCCCTTGCTGGGGGGTCTTGCACAATCAGAGGGAGCGGGGATGCAGGGGGGCCTCCCCATCCTTGGTTGTCTCAGCTGGGGGCGCAGGGAGCTCAGAGAGGTGGGAGCTGGGACCCAGTAGGGCAGCCCCGGCTGCCTGATGTGGGGGAAAGGAGAGCATCACCGATCAAGCCCCAGGAGTGGACGGAGCCACCCTCTGGGCCCTGCAGACTGGGTTTGGCAGAACCATGAGACACTTGGGATCCTTGAGAAAATTGGCCAGTCGGTGTGTTTCAAACTGCCCCTGAAAGAACACAGCTGGGCCAGGCGGATGGCTATCTTGGACAGCCCCTTGGACCCCCGCCCCCCACCCTAGCCTGCCTTGCCCCCTACAGGCGATCGAGAATATCGACACACTGACCAACCTCGACAGTCTGTTTCTGGGCAAAAACAAGATCACCAAGCTCCAGAACCTGGATGCCCTCACCAACCTCACTGTGCTCAGCATGCAGGTACCGGCCACTGGGCAGGGGCTGGGGGCGCAGTCCTGGGCAGCCCCTCGCGCATAAGCCGACATCAGCTCTGCTCTGGGCTGCTGCGTTTGACATGAGGTGCAGCATGTTACCGCCCCCACCTAGTCCTGGCATCCCGTCCCATTCCCCACCCACCCGCCCTGACACAGCACTCTGCCTGTAGAGTAACCGGCTCACCAAGATCGAGGGCCTGCAAAGCCTGGTGAACCTGCGGGAGCTCTACCTCAGTCACAACGGCATCGAGGCCATCGAAGGCCTGGAGAGCAACGTAAGGAGGGGGGTGGGGGCTCGCTGTCGGGGTATAGACGTGCACATGCATGGGCATCCATGCAGGGATGTGCTGGGCGCACATTGCTGGGGCTCCCCCCCACGGCGCCTGTGCTCAATCCTTCCCCTTCTTCCTGAGTCCTCCTGCCCTCCCCACACAGCACAGGCTCCGTCCCAGAGTGGCCAGGGGTCCCCACTGTCCCTGTCACCTTGGGAGCGGCCACCTGTGCCATGTCCCCATCAATAAAGTTCCTTTGCTCCCTCAGCTGTGCCAGTTTTCTGTCTGTGTGAACGCAGCCACCCTGATTCAGGCAAGGCCATGGTGTGTCACTCACATCAGGCACCTCTAACCTCTGACCCCAGCCCAGAGCAAATCTTGGGGAAGTGGAGACAGGGAGGTAGAGAGGCGGCATCTGATGTGCTGGGGCCGAGAGGACAAAGCAGAGTGCTGTGTAATCGGGGCTGCTGGTGGGCACTGAAAGTTCTGGTACACGAGCTGCCCTGGTCGGCACTCCCCATTCGGGTAGCCCAGTGGGGGCCCCTTGGCACCCCCAGCTCTGGAGTAAACACAGAAATCCTGAGACCACAGGGCTTCTCGGGGGACCTGGGTTTCAGGCCAGTGGGCAGTGGGCTTCATGAGGGTGGTGGCCTGGAGCCCACGGGCACTTACGTTCTGCCCCGTGCTGCCGTCTTTTCTTTGCGGCTTATTTTCTGCCAGGGAGCATCCCTGGGATTCTTGAGGTACTGGGATTCCCCGTTTGGCCCTTTAGTTTGTCTGAAGGTTGCTTTCATGAAGGGGGATGTGACCCGTCCTGTCTGCAGTGGCTTTTGGGTCTGCAGGCACAGCAGTTGACTACCTTGGGACATTCTCTTACTGGTGTGCTTCAGGCTGGCTTTTGAACGTGCTCACAGCCCCAGGTGTGAGGGCCATGCTGAGTGGCCTGTCACCACACCGAGGGCCGGCCGGGCTGCCGCTTCTTGAGCTTGTCAGGGCTGACTGTTAGCTCTGCCCTGTTTCTTTGCCATCCAGCCTGACCCCTGGCACATGCCTACGGGGTGTCAGGAACCACTGCCAACAGTGGCCACCATCCTGGCCCTGCCCTCTCTTCCGTGACTGTCTTTGGCAATGGCCACCATCCTGGCCCTGCCCTCTCTTCCATGACTGTCTCTCGGGCACCCTTAGGCCTGTGGGCAGCCAGTCACCTGGCCAACTGTGGGCCTCAGTCGTTTGGAGTGTGGAAGAAGCGGCCGTGTCCGCAGACTCAGGCGTGTGGCACAGCACAGTGGCCGTGAGCTCACTGGAGGGGTGGGGCTTCTTGCTGTGCATTGTGTTTGCTGAGATGTGCTCCTTTGCCCTCGCACTTGGGGACCGGGCTCAGGACCAGGAGAACGAGAAGGGGGTGCCAGGCGGTTAGGGAGTTCTTGTTGGAAGCGGTTGCCACGTCTGACACTGGGGGAGTTTGCCTGTCATTTTCCCTGACAGTGTGCACACCTGGACGCAGGAAATGGGCATGCGCTGCCTCGCTGAACTAGTAGGCATCTTTGAGAGAGAGAACCAGGGCCATACCACCTTTGGGCAAAATGCCAACTCCCAGATCCCAGCACCCGAAACCCCTGTCCACAGGAAGCCCACCCCACCCCACCCCACCTCGTGCTCCAGGCAGGGCCTAGCCCAAGCTGGCTGCTCTAGCACTCAGGCTAGGGTCCAGGGGGCCACAGGCCTTGCCCTCCTTGGGGCCCTGTCTTTGGCACCCCTGTCTCTCAGCCACCGCTGCCAGGTGCCCCACCCCCAGACAGGATTCTGAGAGCTTTAGGGGTCCACCTTGTGAGCACAAAGCTGCACAGCTATTGTCCCCACCTGCCCCTCTGGAGCCCCCCAGCCTTTGGCTCTGGAACCCCCGTGATGGAGAGGGGTACAGGGACCCCAGGTCTCACCCACCTTCAAATGCCGGCAGTGGGGACACTGCACCGTGAGGGCTGGCCCCCAAGTCCCACCCAGGCGACATACAGGAAGTGGGCAGTTCCCGGGACCCTCATCTGCATGCTGGTCTGTGAGGGCAGAGGTGCCCTCCCCAACCTGAAGCCTTCACTCAGCTCTGAGTGCACAGTCACCTGTCCTGCTGAGAGCAGGGTAACCCAGTGCACAATTGTTTCCTTGTTTTAGAACAAACTCACCATGCTGGACATTGCGTCAAATAGAATAAAAAAGATTGAGAATATCAACCATCTAACAGAGCTTCAGGAATTCTGGGTAAGTGTGCTTGCCATGTGCCGGGGTCAGAGACACTGGGCAGACAGGCCCCACTGACAAATGTGCAGATTGCTCTCCTGTCCCTGACTCGCCCCACATCTGGTGTGCACTGAGGTGGGAGTTCTGTTTCGAGTGTGACGGGGGGCCCCGATGATCCCGGTGCAAGCCCCCAGCAGATCCAGGGCTGCCATGTGATTGAAGGTTTCCCAACGCCGGCCCCCACCATGGCGGCAAGCTCCCGGGCAGGTGCATGCACTTTGCTCCCTGGAATTTGCATGTTTGGCTCTCAGCGATGAGGTCCGCGCAGACCCACTGAAGGGGCTGACTAGGGCAGCAGCGGCAGGGGCCTGCTGCTTGAAGGCGGCCCCTTCTCGCCTTTGGTGTGTGCAGGTGTCTTTGGCCTCTTGGCTCTCTCCTCGTGGTTTCCATCCACTAGGGAAACTCCCAGGAATCACTTCCTCTGCCCTTCCCGGTTTCTCTGAAGCTTCAGTTGTCGAGGTGCGCCGGGTCCTCCCTGAGGTCCCTGAGGCTCATGCCCGCATCCACCTGCCACTCGTGTCCTCCTAGGGCTTGGCTGTGGGAGTGGCAACGCTCCCTGCACCGCACGTCCCAGGCAGCTCGTCTGCTCCTGGATGACAGTGAGAGGCGGAGCCTTTGTCACCGAAGGCCCCCACCCCCCACCAAAAGCACAGATGAGGGACTGCCCACTGGGAGCAGCCTTGCCTGAGAGGAGGGTTGCTGTAGACTTTGACGGAAGCTGGCGGCCTGTCTCTCCCATGGAGACCCTCGGGCTGAACCCACCAGCTGAGAGCTGGCCCCCTGGGCCCCCAGCTCCCCGGACTCCTGCACTGCCTGTGGAACACCTGCTGACAGCACGACCCCAATCAAACCTGGTGCCCCTCTTCACAGCTCAGCCCCAGCGTCAGCCTGCCTGCCAGAGCGGTCCCGTTAGGACCTGAGACTCGGCCGGCAGAGCTGCTGGAGCACCCTGAGGGAGGAACCGTGCGCTTTTCCAAAGCTCAGTGAGGTGCCGCCTCGGCCCCTTGGAACGGGGAAAGGAAAGCTGACAGGACAGGCTCTCAACCAGGAGCGTCCACAGTGTCCAGCAAACAACGCGTCCATCCATCTGTGGACGAAGCTGAAGACTGGCCCGTAACAAGCAGGGCATCCGGGTGCAGGGGGCTGTTTCACATCCTACAACATGGGCACCACCTGCCCGCTGCGGACCGGGGACCTGGAGCACTGACCATCGGGGATCACAGGCTTCAGTGTGGATGACGACTCCGCTTGAAGCTGACCACACCCTCTCGGCGGGACGGTGCCAACAGAGAACATCCAGATAGTGGAGAGACAGTGCGAGGTGTCGGATTTCATCTTGCTTGTACCCACAATCCTGTGGCTCCCAGGGCAGCGAGCAGCTACACGGGGAGGGACACCCTCGCCTGGACCTCTTCCATTGTATTTCAAAGGAAGACTGAGGCTGGTCGGGAAGTGCCCCCAGTTAGACTAAGTGTAACCCTTTGGGAAGAGGCCCCCTGATGCTGATGCACTGGGAAGGGCCGCCACCAAGTCCCGCTCCTTCCAGAGCACCCAGGTGGCAAAGAGCTGGACTCAGACAAGAAACTTCTGGGCGTTCTCGTTGACCCTTTTCCCCAGCTTGGTGTCGGGGTCTGCTGAGGTGTTCACCGAGAGCCAAGGAGTCACTTGGAGTCCCATTTTGACGCGGAGGAGGGCAGCCGTCTCTTACAGCTGTCGGTGTCAGATGCACCCTCTGTAACGTGCCGCAGGTGGTGGGTCGCCACGAAGAAGAGGCTGTCTGCCCCCAGAAAGCTTCCGAGTGTCCTATGGGGACGTCCTATGGGGCCGCTGTGTCGACTGCATGGCGGTGAGCAGATCCCAGCTCAGCACCCACTCATCCTGTGACCTGTCAACAGAAGGGGGAGGTGGGAATCGAGCACACATCCCAGAGCCAGTCACCAGCTTCTGACGACAAGAACGCTCTAGAAGCAGCAAGTGCCTGGGAGACACCTGGCTCTGAGTGTCCAGTGTCACCGCATACCAGAGGAATGTGCGCCCTACGTTCAAAGGCAAACATGCACATTCAAGACACATGTGCAGCTCCAACCGGCAACCCGGCCAGCGACCGGACACCATCCGCCCACCCCCAACCCCGGGCATTCCCGTTGCACTCACTGCCAGTTGTCTGCGTGTAGTGTGGTCGGTTGGTTCACACTACCGCAATGGCAGGTAAGGATCTGTCCTGAAGTATTTCTGCACTGGCCCTTCCCGGCCCATGCGCGGCCCTGAGCACACGGCCGTGTGCATCTGCTTGACACTCTCCACGACCAAGCTCAGGGACGTGCACACGTGGATTTCCCAAAGCAGGTGGCGCCCTCGTTCCATGGGCGTTCTGTGGAAGCAGGTGATGGGGCAGCACGGGCGTGTTGTAGCTGAGAACTGCTCTGGCTCTGGTGGCATGCCTGAGCCGGCTTCCAACACCTGCCCGCCACAGACAAGCGTCAGCATGGGAGACCCTGCACAGCTCACCTGCCCTGAGCGCTGACCCGGGCCAAATGGGCATCAAAAGGGAGCCCATGGTTCACCCCCGTTGGCCTGGAACATTGTGCTGAGCCAAAGCAGTAGAGGTCAGAGGTGAGGGCAGCTGGAAGTAGGTGGTGAGCAGCGTGGCTCGGCACCCTTGTCGTCTAGCTCGCCGCCACCGAGGCCAAGCCTAGGGCCCGAGCCCACACTCAAGTCAGACCCACTCTTCCAAAGCCGCAAGCAAGCAGGTGGCCCCCAGAGGCCGTTTGCAGGGCAAGTCCTGCCCGTGCCCCAGGGCTGGGGCCACATGGATTGTCTGTGCGAACAAGCTGCACTACGTCAGTTGAAGGGCTGGACCAGTCATTTCATTGCCTCTGAGAACAGCCTCTGTAGGGATCCACGGTCTACAGCACACAGTCCCTAGGTCAGCGGTCAGCCCTGGCCACAGGCTTCCAGAGAAGTTGGAGAACACAGGCCATGGTCCAGGGAGGTCATGTGAAGAAACCCAGCCCTGCGTTCTTCATCTCAAAGCCACCTGGAAGTTTTTCCTCTTTCCTCTCTCTTCTCCCTCGGCCTGGTAGCAGAGCAGCCCCTGCCCTGTGCTCTGCACTGCCCGTCCCGGCCACTCCTTGTTGCCCAGGTGGGCAGGGCTCACTCACCAGCATGGCCCCAGCTGGCGGGTGGCTGTCTAGTCACAAGGCGCCCAGGTTGGCGCTGCTGTGCCAAGGGTCCCTGGGCCTGGCACTGACTCATGGCAGGAGCCGCGTCGGCACTTGACTGTGGGCTTGGACCGGCCCGGCAGGCCTGATGCATTCAGCGGTGCTACCAGTGAGCCCCTGCCATCACCAGAGCGTCAGAGCAGGCGCCTCTCTGAAGGCTGGGAAACCATTCAGACCAGGACGGGCTCCTGCTGGTGCAGCCTGACCCGAGGAGGAGTGAGGGAAGAGGTGCCCCTGTGTGCTTGCCTCCCTGTGGGAGAGTTTATGATCTTTTCATCCCATTTTCCTGCAGACTTTTTGAGGATTCTTGGTGGGAAGGGGCGCAGGATGGTCACAGACAGTGTCAGAAGGTCTTTTCAAACATCCCTGGTGGTGCAGTGGGTTAGGCCCGCAGTCTGAAACCAGCAGCAGCCTCACGTACAGGGATGGTCTCGGTAGACCCTAGTAGCAAGGGCACCTGTCCTGTAGGGTCCCTGTGAGTCGGACTCGGCTCCTGCAGTGGGTGGCTGAGATTCCCAAGGAATGTGGTGTCCTAAGCCCTCGGGGTCCCCATCAGTGCCCTTCCGGGGCTGGGCCATGGAAGAGGCCTGGTTACACCTGAGTCCAGGTTAGCGGCTGCTCGGCGTGCCTTCAGCAGGTGAGGTAGAGCATAGCCCTACCTGGGTGGGCCCGTCTTTTCATTCAAGTCAAGCACCCCAGTTAGCTGTGGGCTCACCCAGTAGAAAGGGGTCCAAATGGTGCCTCTAAAGTGCCCCACCCCCAGGGCCATCACGGGCTGGGGAGAAACCGAGATGTACATGGCAGGCGAGGCGACCTTTGTCTGCTGTGATGGTCAGTGTAGCCCCGCAGCCTCAGCATGGGGAGCGGTGGCCGAGCACCTGTGTGCAGGGCTGTCACAGGTCTGTGGGGGAGTGAGGGCTTTACTTGTTATCTGTCGACCCTCCTGGGCATGAGCCTGGGGGCAGTGTTGGCGGTGCATCTGGGCCGTGCATCTGTCTGTCCTGTCTGCCCAGATGAACGACAACCTCATCGAGAGCTGGAGCGACCTGGACGAGCTGAAGGGCGCCCGCAACCTGGAGACAGTGTACCTGGAGAGGAACCCACTGCAGAAGGACCCCCAGTACCGGCGCAAGATCATGCTGGCCCTGCCCACCGTCAGGCAGATTGACGCCACCTTTGTCCGGTTCTGAGCCCTCCTCGAAGGCACGGCCTCTCCACGGCCCGTCGCCTGCCTGCTGCTCCTGAACGCACAGCACGACCGTGCACCAGGGCCAATAAAGGCGCTGCGTGTAACCAACAGGCCTGGCGCCCTGTCTGCTCTGAGCGCCGTCGCTCTTCGTCTTGGGCACTGGTGGCCACAAGGGAGGCTGCCCGTCTGCGTCGCGCCCACGCAAGGCCGGCCGCCCTGGCATTGTGCCTATGTCAGCCCAGGGCTCCCTGCACCGGGGGCCGGCTGGTGCCAAGTTTGAAAATAATTCTATCTAAGAATAAACAGATACTGAGAGCTCACGTGTGAGAGCATCCAGCCTTGTGCGCTGTGACACGGGACACCTAAGGGTCAGGGGCCTGTGCCCTCCCAGAGCTGTGAGGCCCAGCTGGGTAGGCTATGTTGTGCTGCAGTGCCGAGACATAACCCTCAACACCCTGCCTCCATCACCACCAGTCCACATCCTCCAGTCCCTACCCCGTCAGTGTAGATTACGAACACCTCCCAGCACTGCCTCCTGGGTCTGGACCTCAGCCTCCACAGCACAGCTATCTTGGGGTCTCAGGTTCCCCTCTGTGGCAGGAAAATTGAGTCAGGCGTCACAAGGGCGCTTCTCAGTCCACAGTGGACAGTGCCCACACAGGTTCCTCCAACTTGCCAGCCGAAGTGCAGGACATGCCCATCCCCACCGAGTCCTGCTGGACTGCACTGCCCTGGACTCGCCAGCGCCACGAACATATGATGCATAGAAAGTTCCCGGCTGAGTAAGCCCTAAGCCAAAGCCTCTGTCCTCGGAGGCTCCGGGTTGGGGGCACCCTGGAGACACGTGCAGGGCCCCCATGGCAGTGCTGCTTCCACCAAGCCCTGGCCCTGGTCCTGACCAGCTCCTCAGGCTGTGTAGACTGCCCCACCTACTGTCACCAGTGCCCAGCCTCCCCCACTGGGGCCCATAGTCCCGGTCACTTCGACCACTGCAGGACACAAGGACAGTGAGGCCCCTATTGCCTGGGCCATGCAGCCAACTGCCCAACAGCTACTGAAGTCAGGTGGGTGCCCCAAGGCCCTTGAGGACAGCTGGGACACGGCCTGGGCTGCATCCATCAGACGCTGAACACGCAGGCCTCCTGGGTTGACCTGGACCAGCCTAGGGGGGGGGGCCGCATGGCCGGCTTTCCTGAGAGCAGGGCACCTGCTCCTCCTCCCTGCCACCTGTGGTCTGGGTGTGGTGGTCAGGCTGCAGGCAGGCTTGTAGCTGTGAGGACCAGTAGTCGGATATGAGTGGGTTTCTAAAGGTCCTGCGGGTGGGTAGTTAGGAAGTGGCCCCCAAGCCCTCCAGCTGCGCTGGGGGTCAGCAGACAGCCCGTGGGAAGCCTGGGGTCCTCACTGCAAAGCAGTTTTGATGCAACTTGAGTACTGAGCAGGCCATGGACGGTATGAAGTAGCCTGGGTTCCCCGTGCGGCTGTGTGGGCAGACTACGTCCAGGAGGGGTCCCACACTCTACCACAGGGTCCTGAGGCAGAGCTGGCCCAGGAGAGGATACCCCTCTCACACATTTGGGGTCCTGAGCCAGAGCTGGCCTGGAAGGGGAACCCTCCATGCAGAGCCCCTTGCCAGACACTGGCCAGAGCAAGAGCAGAGGGAGCAGGGGTGGGAATCGGGCCCACCTCAGACTTGAGCCCTGGGGGGTCAGGCCAAGGCCACCTCACTGTGTCCTCCTGCCTTGCCCGCAGGTCACTGGCATCCTCCCACTGCCCAGGGCTCTGGGTGGGCAGCAAAGAGGGCCACGTTCAGATGAGCTCATCCAGGACCTGGGCTCCGTGAATTCTAACCGGTGGATGGTGGGGAGGAGGGTGAGCCAGCCAGCAGGTGCACCTGCAAGGGGCCCGGGAGCCTTGTCATCTGAGCAGGCTCTTCCAGGGACAGACACTCCAGGACTGAGGCTGGACAGAGCCAGCGCTCCACGGAGTTAACCCTGGGACCCCTCCCTGGATTCACATGGGGCTCCAAGTCCCATGTGACCTGCCTGAAGCCACCCAGGAGAAAGGTCAGGGCTGGCCTGCATTCAGGTTGATACCCACCCACCCTCAGAGCACCCGTACTCTCACCCGGAGCCTCCCCAGGCAAAGGAGCCTACAGAGCAGGCTGGTGGGCACTGAGGACAGCCTCCCCAGCCCCCGCTCCTACAGCCCTGAGCTCATTAAACAGCCCCACCCGCTGGCCTTCAGCTGGCCACCCACAGCGTTTGCATGGTGCCTGGGGTGGAGGGAGGGGGTTAAGGAAATAGGCTGTTGGCAGAGCAGGCCCCACTCCCCCTTCTCAAACAAAGGCAGGCCTGTCCCAGGATCCCCGGAGCCCTGGCCCCACAGCCAGCTTAGTATCAGTCCCCTCCTGCCTGCACTAGCCTGTCCTGGGCCAGGTGCGACCTGCCCAGTCCTGTCCCTCCACCCAGGTCTCTGCCCTTGGCCAACCAGACTGCTGTTGGACCACGCTTCCACTGGGAGGTGGCCATGACCTCTGAGGAAGCTTCCAGGATCCACGGTGCCAGGTGGGAACCTGTTCTATAGTGAGTGGGCCATGGGACAGGAGGAACCGAGCGCCAGGCCAAACACCTGAGTTCTGCGTGAGACAGTGGGCTGACTGGCACTGCAGCCTGGACTACCCAACTTTGGGGAAGCAGAACAGCTCCAGGTCTTCACATGGGTCTGCCTGACCCGGCCCCCTCTATCTCAGGCCCATCTGTCCCCGGGTCCCTCTGTCTCCGGGGTCTCTGTCTCTGTTCCCTCTGTCCTACGGGCTTCTACCCCTAGCCCCTCTGTCCTGGGCCCCTCTATCCTGGACCTCTCTGTCCCGGACCCCTCTGTCCCTGGGCTTTCTGCCCTGGCCCCTCTGTCCTGGGCTTCTCTGTCCCGGACCACTCTGTCCCTGGCCATCCTTAAAGAGGGTTAAAAAGCCTACAGAGTCTTGGAGGGTGGTCGGGTGAGCTCTTCTGAGCACAGGGTGTCCCAGACATGCTGCCCTCATCCCCTCCTGCCCTGGGGCTTCCTGAATCAGGGACCAGTGGCCCGGGAGGTGCCCTGTGTCAGGGCAGCTCTGCCCACAAGGGATCGAGCAGGGGTGGCCCTCTGGACCCCCAGCCCGACCCCCCACCCCAGAAGACTGAGGAGTGGGTGGCTGAGGGGAGCAGAACTGCGCCTGCAGAGCCATCGGCTGCCTGCCCCCTGAGGCTGCAGCCCGTCGGCACCCCCTCCATCTAGTGGGCCCGGCCCCTCTGCAGGTGGGCGTCTGTCCACACCTGTCCGTCTTGCATGGGGGCCGTGGCTGCAAATGGGTCTCACGCACCCTCTGTCCCGAGGGCCAGGAGCGGGATGTTGCGTCACCGAGTCCAGGAGGAGGACAGTGCCGTCCTCATCAAAATGGGCCCTGGGACGGAGAAGGGGGACACTTACGGAAGCACAGCCCTGCACCCCGCTGATGTGGCCGAGGTAAGACATGTAGGGCAGTGTCCCGTGTCCCCACCCAAACCATGAAGTCCCTGGAGGCCCAAGGGGAGGCTGCACAGATCTGGCTTTGGGGCTCTGCCTCCCAAGCCCCTGTCCACCTGCCCACGATCTGACCCCCGGGGACGGGCATCGCAGGGAGTTGGGCTTCATTCCCCCCCCACCCCCTCCCGGTCAAAGGCCAGCACCTCTTTCCCTCCCAGCAGGGCGGATCCCAGGCAGCCACCTGCAGGGTGGGGACCCCTGCCACGCCCAGGATCGGTGAGCCCCTCCCCTCACCTGTGTGGGTCCTGGGGGTGGGGCCAGATGGGGTACCCAAGGAGGACAGCAGGTGCTGGCCTGTCTCATGAACTCCTTCCCCAGCCGACTCTCCAGAAACAGCCTCATTCTGGGGAGGGGAAGAGCAGGAGTGGGGTGGCCTGCCATGGGGGTGCTGAGAGTAACAAGGAGGCCCACCCCCTGTCTCTGCCCATAGGGCTAACCAGTGGCCTCCCTGCCAGTCCTTCTTCAACCCTAGGCCTGGGGTCATCAGAGACCTCAGAGCTCCTAGCCTACAGCTCTCCACATCCCCAAAGCTCTACAGTCCACTCCCCCTGTCCCTCACCCTGACACTGTCCCCACCCAGCAGCCAGGGGACCCCATTGAGGGCAGATGGCAAGGGCCTACCCCTTCCTGCCCACTCAGGACCCTCCAGTTGCTCCCCTCTTTCTATGAGGCCCCACCCTCGCCATGGCCTGCCAGACCTGCTGGGTCCTGTCCCCAACCCGGCCCTCACACCTTCCTCCCTCAGGATGCTTCTAGCCCTGCCTTCCTGGCCTTCTGGCCTCCTCGCTGTCCCCTGCCATCCAGGGACCTCCTGGGACCGGCCCTGAGGGCCCATGTTCCCATGTTCCCAGGGCTCCCAGCACCTGAGGAGCAGACCGCGTCCTTTCTCTGGAGAAGCAACTGGTGGCTTCGAGCCCAACCTTGCTGTCAGGCTCCCAGCACTTGCCAGGCAGCGCTGTGGGAGCACCTCCGCTGCATGGTCCCTTCTGGCCATTAGCATCCCGCGTGGGTGGAGGCTGCTGGGTCAGGGTGCTCCCCGACCCAACTCGGCACCCAGGGCTTCAGCTCTTCCCCGCAGGCCCTTCTCGTCTTTCCCCCTCTCAGTTGCTTCACGTTTTCCCAAGTAGGTCCATCTTTCAGCCAACGGCAGACAGTCTCACCGCCATCCCCTGTCCCCATCGTGGCCCATTGGCTTGTTTCTCCTCGGGAGTCTCTCCTTCACTGATGGGCTTTGTGGGAAACAAGCAGCACCGGTGTTTGCTTGCTCATTTCACGTGAGGTTTACAGTGATCCCCCCAGGCCGGGAATGGGCACCTGCATCTGCAGCTGTGGGGCCAAACAAAGGAGGTGTCCCCAGGATCGGAGACAGACTCCCAAGGAGGGAGGGAGATCAAAGACGGTCAGCCTTCCGCGTGGAGGACCACCCGGTGTCAGAAGACCAACACCCTCACAGCTGCACATCCGCAGTGCCTGGAGAAGGGGTCCATTTGGCTTGGATGCACAGTGAGTGCTCGTGGAAGCAGCTGTCCCGTCGAGATCAGATGACGCCCAGGTACTGGCTGCGTCCACTATGAAATAAGACCTTTTAAAGTGTTAAGGCGGAAAGACGTGGGGGGGAGGACTACGGTGCACCTGACTCAGCCACACCCCGTGTGCATGTGAGCGCCAGACACTGGACGAGGAAGAATGAGTATCCTCGATGAATGGCTCTGGCAGGAATATTCCATCAATTCTGCACTGCCAGCGGGGAGCAGCCACCAAACCAACAACACATCTTCCTTGGAGCAAGTAGTCAGAAGGCTGGATTCCAGAGCCTTTGAAGTGAAATGATTTCGCCTCGTGTTTTGAGCAACTTAACAGAAGGGACCAGTTCCCGGGAAAGGACACCTGCTGGTGGAGTCGAGAGAGGGCCAGGCAGAAGGCAGAAGACCGGCAAGGCGGTGACTGACGTTGCAGTGGCTGCAGCAATGGGCTGAACCCTAAGTGGATGGCCGCGTTTGCTGTTAGGCTGAGCTGACTTTGGAGCCACGCGGCAGCAGTACGCGGAAGCAACGCATTGTGTCTTGTGGCCTCTAAAGCCTGGTACTTAGTACTTTAGTCAGGTTTGTTTTTCTGTTCTGTTTGAAGAGGGATAGGTTATGTCCGGTATATTGTTGTTTATCTCTTGTAAATTCCAAAGTTCACGACGATACAGTCTTTCTTTCTATCCACTAACAGGTGCCTGGCTGCATTTAGGCAGGCCCACTGTTGTCGCTCTCAGCAACCTTGTTTGCAGTGAGCTGTCTTTCATCGGTCAGTAGCTGCATTCCTTGGCAGTGCGGGTTTTAAAAGGCACCTTTGAGATTTTTTTTTCTATTTGTCACAGCTGTTTTTAAATAAATTGGGCTTGTCAAGATATTGAGGCTGTCTACGGGGATCTTGCTAAAGTCACTTGATAAACAGATTGTAGCTTCTTTTGAACGCAATCATGGTGCTCGCAGAGTGAGGATTTTCTTCTTTCTCTCAGAGTCCTGATTACATGTGCATTTTTACATAGGCCTTACTGCACTGTTTAGGGCAGTGGCTTTGTTATGGGTACTCTAGAAAACTCAAGAAGCTGCCTTTTATTGGTAACGTTGAAGAAGGATTTCCTTCGACGCTTTTTCTGAGCTTTTCTGGTGAATGAGGTGAAGGTTTGGCGGGCAGGGCAGACGTAGTTTCAGGTCCCACAATCTAGGCGAACGCATTCTGATTCGGCTCATCCATTGCTGCCCCTCCATGGGCACCGCTCACCCACTGCCTCCCTGGAGCTCCCCTGTCCACTCCTCTCACCTAGCCCTCTGGCCTTTGTCCTAGGTCAAGGCCACCCTTTCATCCATCTTCAATGGTCAGTGATTCTGACACAGAAGTGAGTTTGGTTCCAGATCCGAGGGCAAAGGTCAGCGTGTTGGGGGGGAGACCAGCAAACTTGGTCTCTTATGATTTGGACTTCTGTGTCACGTGTTTCTCTCATTCTATCCAGAACCTTCTAATGGGATCCCTTTCAGAGCAGTTAGCAGTGGGAGTGGGGCACCTTCCAGTTCCTTTGGTCTCAGGGTCGTGGACACTGACATACACAGGATCCATTTGTCCATTGGACCAGTGTCTACCTGCCGTCCGCTTTTAGTGCTCTTCTTCCCCCTCAAGGGTCTGTTTCTTTTTCTGTGTGAATGATGCTCAGGGTCACCAGGCCCGAGCTTCTGTATCTGTTGACACAGACGCACGGTTTCCTCTCTGCTGGTTTAGTACACTCGGGTCACTTTAGAACAGCACTTCGCCATGGCATTCCGTGAGGGACTGGCTCCAAATAGCTGAGACATCTTATCATGTTGATATATTGATGCATTGAAATTCTGTTGTTGTTTAATATTTGTTCGATTTTTGAGAGATGTTGGCATGCAATCTTTCTTTTCAAAAACTGGTCTCAGGGTGAGGTTGACCTCAACATTAATCAGAGCCCTGCCCTCTCGCTATCTCTTTCTAGAGACATTTGTCAAATTTGTAAAGGATTTCTTTAGGACCCAGCACATGGGAAGTGCTATCAAGAAGAATGTGAATCTTTGTCATTTGTTGGCATTGAGCCGATATTTTTGTTGCCCACCCCCCCCCATCCTTTCTTGTGGTTAGTTATAAATTCCTATTTTGTTGTGATTATCCTGGAGATGGAAACACAGATGCTTGGCTGGTTAGGTTTTAATGAGTCTCGATTGTTGTTTCTGCCCTGTCCTGACAACGCTGCCGCCGCATCAGGGAGCTTTCTGTCCATCCCCCATCCTCACACTGTGCTGTGGCTCACAAGGTCGATGCCCCACCAGACAAGACAACGTCTTTCCTCCCCTGCAGCGGTGTACCTACAGAGGCTCGCCCTCCCTCCTTCCATCCCTCGTCTCCCCCATTTCTCTCTGGGATCATTCTCTTTCTCCCTGAAGAATTCCTTTTGGGGGTTCTGTTCACGGCACATACAATTCTCATTCGGTTGGCATTAAGTTGGCGTTTACAACACCGTTAAAAACCCCACCTCCTGGAAACACATCACTTAAAATAAGAGAAAGGCTTCGTGCTCAAAGGCGTTTTAAAAGCACGAACCCACGCTGGCCTTGTGTTATCCTTCATTTCTCTGCATTACTTAGGCCGTGATCAGGTGTGCTCTGTAACATCAAATAGTTAATACTTCAGGTTGTGGTCGTGCACATTTTTGTCATATGAAATGACTAGGCATTTGAGGTTTTCAGACACAATTTTTTATTTCAAATCTTTTATACATTGGTGTGACAGTGTTCACTTTGGTTTTCTATTTGTCTGTTGAGAAGATATAGGAGTACAGTGACTATTTGATCATGAATTGGTATCCATGACCTTGATAAGGTACTGGCTGACTGCAATCATAGTTTGAAGATTCTTTGTGAGTTTCAACATTCATAGACATGTCTTCTGTGATAATAACCATTTACTTAGTGCCCCCCCTCTTGTGTGTGTGTGTGTGTGTGTGTGTGTGCCTTATTATGCAGGACAACCTTCACTGTAGTGCTGGGTACAACTGGTGATACTGGGCTTTCTTGTCCTTTCCCTCCGGGGTGAAGCTTGCAGGGTCTCATTGTTGGTTCTGACGCTCGTTCGGATATTCGCTGTAGGTTATTTCTGTGGGTGTTTTTTCTATCATATTAAGAGGATCCTATGCTTTTCCAGTTTGCTGAGCATTTCAATAACACATTTTAATATATTTTCTAAAAATACATATTGCTTTTTTTAAAAGAAACTTTTATTGGGGGCTTTTTCATCTCTTATCATAATCCATACATTCATCTAATTTTCAAGCACATTTGCACATACACCGCCATCATCATTTTCAAAGCATTTTC